CCTACTTTTCGGGGTACATCTGTTCCAGTGACCTACACTCTTCAACTCCTTGGCATGGAGCTTTCCTCTGACCTCAACTTCGGCACCACCATCGAGTCCAAGGCTCAAATTGCAGCTAGAAAGTTGGGCGTCCTGAATAAAGTCAAGCGGTACTTCACGCCTGAACAGCTTCTAACTCTTTATAAAGCTCAAGTCCGATCTTGCATGGAGTACTGCTGTCACCTTTGGGATGGCTCGGCTAAATACCAACTTGCTGCACTGGATTCGGTGGAACGCAGAGCCAAGAGATTAATAGGTGATAAAAAACTGGTGGCGACCAAGCTTCACAGCCTGGCTCACCGCCGCAAGGTTGCTTGCCTATCGGTCTTCTACAGATTGTACTTCGGAGAGTGTGCGCGTGAGCTGCATGAGCTCATACCACCGTCTCCTTTCTTCCATCGGACATCCAGACGCACGGCCGGCTACCATCCGTTCTTAGTTGATATACCCACATTACGCACTAAGCGCTTCAAATCATCTTTCATTATGCGCACGGCTAAAGAATGGAATTCCCTGCCTGCGTCTGTATTTCCGAGTGCATATAACCTGAATCTCTTTAAGTCTAGAGTGAATAGGCATCTTCTGGGCAAGCTCGCTCCACCGTAGATCCCATCTCTGCTCTAGGGTAAGATTGGGGTCAAGAGTAAGCCCATCATAGATAAAAAAAAAAAAAAAAACTCTAAAAGTTTCATATAAAATATCAGCTTCTACTCTCGACGTAAGTGTACGTGAAAACTTAGTTAACTTCTCACGCTGCTCCTATTAGTGAAGTTATGAAGTTTACCTCATAAAGGCTCAGTTCATACTTAGCATCAAGGCATTTTGCAGCAGGTAACTAATTCAATGTGATTAACGAAATTTTTGAATTACGTACGAGACCTTTTAATTTTTTGTCATAGTAAGATTGTTAGCACAAAGTAAGTATTAACGGGCGGACGGCAAAATGACTCATCGCAAGTGAAAATATTATTAGGTATATCATTCTTATTTTCATGCATAAATAGTTAAGGTGATACGGTTTGGCAGACGCATCCACTAGCGCAAAAATATCGTACAACGCTGCGTCGTCGACGGAAGCATTTGTCAAACAATTTGAAATAGGTAAACCATATTTGTATAAAAATAAGGTCGAAATTCATATTGTCCCATCGCATGCGCTACGCAGCGCAAAAATAACGTCGAAACGGACGTTATGCGTGTAAAGCGCCTAACCGCAGTTGCATGCAATTTTAAAACTTCTTGTTTTGGGGTAGGTATATTTTCTTTTCAAAGTTCAGCGTCACCTAAATGGATTTTTGCTGGGCGGTACCGTAATTTTCCGCTATGAACGAAACGATGTCCTGCACAAAATTTTGCGGCTTTATTTTTTGTGGTGAAAAACGTCACAAGCCAAATTGGTCTCTTGGTAATACCCTCTATGGTAATACAGTGCTTATTTTTGCGCAGAATATTATAATGAAAAGTTGGTGAGGCGTTATTTTCTCTATGATGCATTTTTTTATATAGGTATCCACAAGTTTTTGACGAAATTGTGGTTTTTATCAAAATCTTAGGTCTTTTTTATTTACAAACCACTTAGCTGAATAGAGAGTTGAATGGTGCTGAATCGAGCTGTTTCGTTTATTTCTTAAATACCTGTAACAAAATGTGAAAAATTATAAATTAGCGACAATGGTACTTATATTACATGAATTAGACATTCTCCGAAGACTATGGTCAACTTTAGTGGAATGAGTAAAGTTGACCATTTTTTTAGGCATCCTCGCTTCTCCCAGAAAACTCTGACACCAGGGTTCATAGGGTCGTTGGACGACTCTCTGTCCCACTCGAAGAAGAAGAAGAAGCCTACTTCTTTCAGGTTGTTTTACACTTTTTTATGTAGGTAATACTGGTAAAACAGTTTTTAATTAAGAATAAAGCCAGACCGTGCTGTACTTCGTAATAAAAGGCATCTGCCAGACTCTGTTGAAGTTGCACTCAAGTTTATAATAAAGATGGCATCTCGTATGTTCTAGCTCTTGACAACTTGGGTGGAAGCTGTCTTGTCTTGTCTTGTCATCGTGGCAGATAAATATTTATAAAAAACTTCATCCATCAAAAGTAAGCACACAACACAATTACAAATGACATATGCAATGACTAAATTCATTCTGACTCATCTGCAACAAAGGATACATAATAATGATAACTGCGAATCGAATCAAATATATTATTCCGCGCTATATCTACTTAGTTGTCATATTCAAGACAAGATAAAAATTCTTTGACTGGATGTATCCGCGCCTTACGTAATAATGCCCGCAACAGCATCATAATATTTTTAAGACTAATAAGACTCGTCCTTATATGGGGTTATTAGAACCGAGAAACCGAAAAACCGAGTCATTTTTAAAAATTGATATATACTGCTAATTTATGATAAATTCAAGTAAACTTTTTTTAATCGTTTATTCCATAATTATTTTTAGGAAGAATAATCTACTCCATTATTAAAGCTTATGGGTGTTTTATTTACCTACACATTATATAACCGCTCCTTGTCTGCCAAGTTTTCTAAGCTGCAGTAAGGAGCGTGTAACGATAAACAGCTAAGACCCCTTTCAGTTGAGCTAAATGAATAGACGTCACTCTTCGTTGCAGTAGAGTAGAAACTTGAGCACGAGTAGGAAGTAACTATACTATATTGCTTGTCAACAAGTCAATATGTAAACGTATGAGTACGTGCTACTTTTCTATGTTTAACAGTAAATGAAAATACAAAGCCAAGCTATTTTCTTTTCCTTATTTTCAAGCGAAACATCTAGTTGCCAACGAACCGAAAAATTAAACAGCTATTTTAGAAACAGGTTTTAATCAACTTTTTGATTCGCGTAGGTAGTCTTTTTAATGATTATTAATATACTGGGTTATTTTTTAGTCAGTGCGCAAACTTTGCAGGGTGTTTCTACTCGTGATTCTGAACAACTTTTATTATGGGACCACCTGCGAATTCGCAAAAAAATATTTGGATGTTCCATAGAAAAATTCATACCTACTCGGCAAAAATGTATGGAACAACCAAAAATTTTTTTTAGATTTCGCATGTGGCCCCATAGTAAAAGTTGTTCAGAATCACGAGTAGATCATCGAGTAGACACCCTGCAAAGTTTGCGCACTGACTAAAAAATAACCCTGTATGATGTGGATGTGGAGAATTGATACTGCAGAAGGTTTCTTTTCGATTTTATTTGTGCTGCAACACACCCAGTTATCTATTGAAAGGGTTAATTTAAACTGATTCTCCAAACAGTTATTAAAAATAACCAGTATAATAGTAGGAATTTAACTCAGGAGTGTACAAAAGCCCAAAAAATATTTTATTATATGTTAAGAATTTTGTGTCAAACTTCACCCAACTGATTAATTTTATGAGAGGTCCAAATTCTTTGACAAAGTTTCGTCGTTTTTAATATTAAAAGACGAAACAAATATCAAAGTATACCAAGTTCGTAATAAAGTTTAGAAAAATTATATTGCTGTTGTTGTGTGGGACACCAAGTCGACGGAAGGTCCGATTGTAAAATGCAGAGTTTAACGATGCTGTCGTAAACTTCGAAATTATGGTAAAACTTACGCAGAAGGATGGACTCCGAATTTCAAACGTTACAGTTGAAGATTTTTACATCCTGCTCTTCAATACATAGTCTAAAATGAAGTCGCTTTTTGCGATTCTCTGTCGTGGTATTGCGTGGGAAAATGCCTATTACTCCCGGGAAAATGAGTTGCAGCGGGTGAAATCGCTAACGGGCCGCTAGTATGTCTTATAATATTTATGATACAGAGGCAAACAATTATTTTGCTAAATGGATCCTTTATTTATTTTAAAGGCTGTTTAGGTAATCCTTACTCAGCGGTTAAGCTCTCATTTTAATTTCTAGGCGGCTTAAGTTAGATAATATGTAGGACGTTATGCTCTAGATTACACCACTAGTTCTAAGCTGAGAGCAAATTAGCATCAGAGTAGGTAATTAGTGTAGAGATGCCCCAACACCGCCCACCCTGACAATCCAACCGTGCAGCGCCTTTGGGACGAGCCGGTTTGTAAAGCTGCTTTCGCCAGTCTGATGGAGGCAGCATCAGGTGTTGACGTAGCACGCTTAAAGGCCGCCTCCTGGCTCCAGGCTCTTCCATCTCCCCAGGTCGGTACGCTCCTTGACAACGACTCTCTACGGATTGCTGCTGCTCTGCGTCTGGGCTGCAGAGTCTGCGAAGCACACAGCTGCCCTTGTGGTGCTTCGGTTGACTCTGCAGGCCACCACGGTCTCAGCTGCGTGAAATGTGCCGGTAGATTCCCGAGACACCACGCATTGAACGAGATATTTCGCCGAGCTCTGGTGTCCGCAAACGTACCCTGCGCCCTAGAGCCTCCAGGCCTTTGCCGGACAGACGGGAAACGCCCTGACGGTCTAACTCTCGTCCCATGGGACAAGGGGCGAAGTCTGCTCTGGGACGCCACTTGCGTAAGTACGTTTGCGGCATCACACTTGGCGAAGACAATGCGTGAGGCGGGATCCGCTGCTGAAACCGCAGCTGGACAGAAACACCTAAAATACGCAGAGCTCAAACGGCAGTACCTTTTTGTCCCTTTTGCGGTCGAAACCGGGGGACCATGGGGCAAGGAGGCCAAAATCTTCATCCGGGAGCTAGGCCGACGCTTGCGGGAGCGCGGGTGTGATCCCCGCTCCGGAGCGTTCCTGGTACAGCATATCTCGCTCGCCATCCAACGCGGTAATGCCGCGGGCGTGATGGGCACCTTCGAACCAGGTACGCTTCGGGGTGGACTTTTTGATTAGTTAAGTTTAATGCACCGGTTGATCAAGACTAACCATGTAGAAAGTTCTAAATACTTCCTACAGATGTCGCTGGATCGTCGCTTGGAGACGAGCATCAAGAGATAGAAAATTTGGCATTCATCAACCGGTGCATCGATAGCTCAGTGGCAGAGCGGTGGGGCGTTTACCCATGCGGCCCGGGTTCGATTCCCGGACGATGTATGACATTTTTTCTATTTCTTATTTTCACTTGTGACCTGCTAGTTCTAGATTCGGAAAACATCACGGAATGTTCAGTGACGTAAAAATATAATTGACAGATAGATAACATATTAAAACGTTTTGCAACCATGTTGTCATATTTCTTACAATTCGATTAACTTTTTTGCAGGTGACTTCCAACTTCTGAATAACGGTCCCATTTCTATTACCTAATTCCATCAAAGCTACATGAAGCTCAACCAAAAGCAACATGTCATTTTTTTTTGTGTAGTCAAAGCTCCTTTTTCTTGATCTAATCATTTTGCAACTCAGACGGCACATAAACCAGTGTAACCAGTATAAAATGATCCCTTAAATGTAGGTTGATGTGCTGCCAAAAGCAAGACGTCATGTTCATTTAGCGGAGTCAGAGAGCTCTATTCATAAACTAATAATTTTGCGACCTGCTTAATAATTGCACTGGCGGTTGTAGGTTGTGACGTGTGACTAGTTTAATATTATAATTATAAGGGAAAGAGATTATTATAGTACAGTATTTTGCTATAAGCTCATTATGATAAAGGCTGTTATGAGGAGGAAAGCTCTTTCCTAGAAAACAGTTGAGATATCACGAAAAAGAACCGTTTTCTATAAATTAAGCACGATATGCCGAAAGTATTATCAACAGCGGTAAATATTATAAAGAAGATTTTAAAGCTATCATATCTCACTAAAATATTGACTGCGAATGAACTACACAAGTTTGGGGGTTTGACATTGTGGTGAAAGAATTGGCTAGCCTAGACACTGCGTTATCGTGTCTAGTTGTTTCCAAGATACCCAGGGTCGTTGGACGACTTGGTGTCCCATTCTAATAAGAAGAAGGATACCCTAATCTCTCCCACACATGCGCCCAGGATGATTCGTTCAGCGCCAACCAAAGAGCCGTTGATGTGGCCAAGTTTTGGGCTGAAAAAATATTTAAACCTTTGCCATTGACAACAAACTGTTGGATTACAAACTGTTGAGTTAGGAATTTCTGAAATCTATGGCTTATTTTACTATGGTAAAATGGCGCAAAATAAGCGTTAGTTTACAATGACTTTCCCCTTCACAATCCTTTATTGTTCGAACAAAGCTCCCGGCGAGCCGACAGGTGATAAGCGCGCTTCATTGACTTGCATTGTACGAGCTTTTATTAACCGCTTTTCACACACACATTACGCCATCATTCCCTGCGGTGTAGGCACACCGACGGCGACTGTAGAAATATGCTTGTTAAGGTGTGGACAAAATAAGTAACGTTTAAGAAATATGATTTTTATGACACTTCTTCTTCTTCTTCTTCTTCTTCGTGTCACTGTCCATACTAGACAACATACCTATTAGATAAAATTTTGTATTGCCAATATTTTGCTTCAGCTGCCCCATTTCCAGTTGCTTCAGCATGAAATGTAGGGTGATGCTATTCTTAATAGATACCATTCTCAAAATCCTTAATAGTTCTAACAAAGCTGCCGGCGACCCGTCAGCTGATAAGCGCGCTTCATTGCCTTGCAATGTCCCAGACTGACGTGCTCTGCAGCTTTTATTTACAGCTTTATAGGCGATATCATAGAATTATCGTAATAAACTGACACAAATGTAGGATGTACGACCGTAAGGAGTACAACTGGGAAGTTCACTGTGACGCTAAAAGTGAGCCTTAAGAGACTCTCAAAAACTTTTCGCTGCCTTTTTCTAAGCAGGTGACCTCGCGTTTTTATTACCATAATAATAAAATGTGGTCATAGGTTCATGAAACTGAACAACTTTTCCCAAGAACATAGGCCGAAATATGACACCTGTCAGTAGATAGATACCACTTTTGAACACTTACCTAAGGCTTGATTTTAGATGCAAGCAACTACAAGCTGCCGGCGCCCCGTCAGCTGATAAGCGCGCTTCATTGCCTTGCATTGTCCCAGACTGACGTGCTCTGCAGCTTTTATTAACAGCTTTACACGCACACATCACGCCTTCATCTCCTATGGTGTAGGCAGATCGACCGCTGCCGGCGCCCCGTCAGCTGATAAGCGCGCTTCATTGCCTTGCATTGTCCCAGACTGACGTGCTCTGCAGCTTTTATTAACAGCTTTACATAAACACATCACGCCTTCATCCCCTACGGGGTAAGCAGACACAGTGGCCGTAAAAATACTGATTTGTTACAGTGCCGTCATTGCCTTGCATTGTCCCAGACTGACGTGCTCTGCAGCTTTTATTAACAGCTTTACAGGCGGTATCAATGGCGGCTAAATAGAGATAGTCATTTACTGACACAAATGCAACAAATGCATGGAACTAGGATATATTCCCTACGGTCGACCAACTAGAATGTTCACTGTGCTGTGAAGCAAGCCGAAAGAGACTCTCCATATACCTTCATCAAAGTATGTGTGAAAAAATATACAAGAATACACAAATATTCAAAATTTAAGATGTGAACCAGTTCATGAAACTAGACAACTTTCTCCAAAGAACATAGGCCGAAAAATGAAACCTGTCGGTAGATGATATAATACTACTTTTGAACACTTATTACCTAAGAATTGATTTTAGATGCAAGCCGTTGCATTTCTTAGCATTTGGACTTGTTCCAAAACGTACAAATTTGCTTGAAATTACACAACTATAACATATTGAACCCAGTTCTATTCCTGGCATGTTACAACTCATAAATAAAATTTACTACAGCTGCGCCCTGTTGGTTTGCTTACGTTTCATTGATTTTACTTGTGTGTGAGTCAATGAAATCTTCATTTTCTTATATTTCCGTAAGATAAATGAAGTAACTAGTATTATTAAAATGAAAAGTTTATTTTATATACTACTTTTGTTCGTCTTTTACTACAAACTTGAGTGATGAATAAAGTACGAGTAGGTAGGTACATAATGGAAGTAAAGTATCTTGGTATTTTCTGTTAATACTACCATAACAAAGACAATAACAATAACTTACAATAACTTTTAACTTTAATTATAAATAAAACAAATTAACAGAACCAAATGAGTTAGATACTCGATAAAGCAAAAACCTACTGCCAAAAACAGGAAAGAAAATAGTAATCGCTTACAGGCGGATGACGTAATGCAACCCTAACCGTACAAAAAAGGTCTAGTCACGTGTTTGCCAGTGCAAAAAAGAAACACCCAAAAAGAAACATTTTCTTTCGTAGCGCGTACAAAATGTCCAAGTGTCCAAACGTCTAGAAGTTATTGAGTTTTATGAGTGTCTGTGCAGACGGACTGCAGCGAAAATTCTGATATACACTTCCCATCACAAAAATCGAAACACCTCGGTTTTTCTTGTTTTTGGCCGAATTAAACACCAAAAAGTATTGTTTGCATAAAAAAAATTGTATGACTGTGTAGCTGGCAGTTTTTGTCTTTTCACTGTGTATAAAAAAATTCAAGATTCAAAATTGGAACTCCAACTGTTTGTTCTGTAAATGAGATGAATGACTGAGACACGTTTGCAGTTTGCGCCTTTTAACGATTCATAACATTTTCAGCATTAAAATTAAGAGCTTGTCTTAGCTTATCTTAAAACTTTTGTTTTTTTAATTGTTTACTGTGACTTTGGATCGCCTGAAAAAAGTAAGATTTAATCTGAGTCATGGGTATTTTGCCCGTAGAAGCCGCCCAAGTGGTGACATTGCCAAATTTTGGACTTGGTCATCGTCTTGTGGCTGAATGTTTGCATTTAAGCCTCACCTCTGTTCATAAAGCTTACAAACGCTATCAGAAGACTGGTTTGTTTACGCGACGTTCAGAATCCGTCGGGAATCGGGTCAGTTCTGACCGACATGATCGAATTAATGTTATGAGTTCTTTGCAAAATCGACGCCTTAGCGCTTTTTAACTGCGCCAAAAGCTATCAAATTTACAAACGGTGGCTAAAAGTGGCTCTACAATCAGAAGAAGGTTAAAGGAACGTAGACTGGTACCGGAATAGCCAGGAAACGGGCCCAAATCAACTGCAGACACGAGGACATACTCTGTCATGCCGTCGGTGCTGATTCCTTCCCAGACCGTTCATGAACTGTCACCATAACTGAGCTTTTTATCAATGCAGCATTGTGTAAAGCATTTTTAATCCCTTCTGTAAGCCATAGTGCTTCCGTGGTTGCCATTCAGCGTAATTCTACACTCAGCAGAAAAGAGGAATTTTGATCCACTGGGTATACGACCAGTTTAGGTGCTCACTTGCAAAGTTAAGGCGCGCTATTTAATTGTCTTCAGTTGATTTGGACCCGTTTCCTGGCTATTGCGGTACCAGTCTACGTTTCTTTAACCTTCTTCTGATTGTAGAGCCACTTTTAGCCACCTTTTGTACATTTGATAGCTTTTGGCGCAGTTAAAAAGCGCTAAGGCGTCGATTTTGCAAAGAACTCACAACATGTCGGTCAGAACTGACCCGATTCCCGACGGATTCTGAACGTCGCGTAAACAAACCAGTCTTCTGATAGCGTTTGTAAGCTTTATGAACAGAGGTGAGGCTTAAATGCAAACATTCAGCCACAAGACGATGACCAAGTCCAAAATTTGGCAATGTCACCACTTGGGCGGCTTCTACGGGCAAAATACCCATGACTCAGATTAAATCTTACTTTTTTCAGGCGATCCAAAGTCACAGTAAACAATTAAAAAAACAAAAGTTTTAAGATAAGCTAAGACAAGCTCTTAATTTTAATGCTGAAAATGTTATGAATCGTTAAAAGGCGCAAACTGCAAACGTGTCTCAGTCATTCATCTCATTTACAGAACAAACAGTTGGAGTTCCAATTTTGAATCTTGAATTTTTTTATACACAGTGAAAAGACAAAACTGCCAGCTACACAGTCATATAATTTTTTTAATGCAAACAATACTTTTTGGTGTTTAATTCGGCCAAAAACAAGAAAAACCGAGGTGTTTCGATTTTTGTGATGGGAAGTGTATTTTGTGAAGACGTTCTTGAGTTTGACTAAGTAAAAACA